CATGAGATTAAAGAGAAGATGAAGTTAAAGCCACGCTGACATCACCCAAAACACACCCACTCAAGCCCATAAACTTTCTTCCAATTGTACAACTCTCTGGTGTACTTGGGAACTTAGAACATATCATCTATCTACTTTAGATCTCAAAAAACTCTTTAATGATATGATTTGTTCCTTCCTGTTCAGATACATTTCAAGGAATTCTCTAAAATCGTAATTCCAATAGAGTGGGGTGACTTTCATCGATAAGATCTTCATGTGGCACTTGATGATTCTTTTTAAGATAAAATTTGTACTCCTCACACACTCTCGCGATCTCTTTGATAAAGTCATTGTTTTTATCACTTTCCATGTGGATTATTGGAACATTATGACTAGAGTCGGATACTTCTGCTAAATTTGGCCTTTTTGTGTTGGAAAGACAATACTAGGAGTCAGTGAAAGTCCATTAACTCAACTTGAATCATCATTTCCTTCTGAATTCGCCCACTTGAATGTGTCTCCCCTGAATGCTTCTGATGATATGTTGGTGTTCATTAATCTTTTCCACGAACGAAATATTAATGCATGTCATGGGAACTGATCGTCTCCAATCGATGTTAAAGCTTGTCATATTGACACACCCTAGTGGAGGAGTAGGTTTTATCATAATCCTATTCCTTATCGAAGTTGGTGCTCTCTGATATATTTTGCATATTTTTTCCTCCAAAAACTAAAGAAATATGCAAAGAAGTTCACATTCATGTGTAGAATCTTTTCAATCCGTTTCCACGCCATCGCTAGTTGTTTCTACTAATGTATTTTTAATTTAGGGGAAGTGTTGGTGTGTCTAATGGAGTGTGTTTTTAGGGTATAAGGATTTAATTGCTGAATTGGAAACACTATAACGGCTTATTTGATAGTTTTCCTTTTCAAATATGAGACTTGTAGATATTTGACAAATTTTTTATGTTCATAAGTTCTTCAATTAATCAGTAATTAATATGTAATTCACAATGTAATAGGAAGAAACAGTGTAATTAATAAGAGATAATTCACCCGAGGAGCTAATCGATAAACAAATATTAGAGAAGGTGCTTGGACAGGAATCAGATCGAGAAGCTGAGGCTCTCAATGCTGAGATATTGTTTGAAAATGATCTTTCATAAGAAAATAGAGCTGTTTGGAGAAACAAGCTCAATTATTGTTAAAACCAAATAAGAGATGCTTCTAAAAGCAGAAATCAAATATAAAGTGGCTAAAAGAGGATGATTCTAATGCCACCTTTTTCAGTCATATGCTGAGAATAAAGTAAGGAGACAACAAAATACCTCATATAAAAATTCAGATGGTCTCACGTGCATTAATTTGAACAGTATTGGCCAGGTTGTTGTTCACCCTCTTTTAGCAAGAGATGGTTATCCTACACTATATACCCTCAATGGTTACTCCGGAAGATAATGAGCTTCTTACCAAATTGCCTATTAAGGAAGAAGTTAAACAAGCTATGTGGATGCTTAATTATAAGGCTGCTCCGGGCCTAGATGATTTTAATGGTAACCTTTTTCAGAAAATGCTAGGATACTATTCACAAAGCTAGATGTTACTTTGGCAATTCAGGACTTCTTCTTAGGTACCAAATACCCCATGTTATGTCTAGATCCTCGATTGTCCTTATCCCTAAAAAATTCTTATACTTTTTCAAGTCTGTAGACCTATTTGCTTGTTCACTTTCATTTCTAAAGTTTGCACATTGTTGAGGTTTATTCCTTCAACCCGTAGGCCCAACACGCAACCTATGAGTTTTGAGTGGAAGAGTGACCGTGAATGTGGGGTGCTAGCAAGTAGGGCTGGGCATATCGGTTTTCGGTTCGGTTTTTATCGGTTTCAGTTCGGTTCAGTTTGGAACGGGTTGAGAGAATTATTACCAAACAAAAACCATACTAGTTTTCAGTTTGGTTTGGTTCGGTTTGGATTTGTTAATTTATATTAAAATATGAAGGATTTTTTGAATTTCTGTAGTTCGGTTCGGTTTTTATCGGTTTCGATTCGGTTCGGTTTAATACGGTTTGGAAGAAATGCTACCAAACTCAAACCAAATTGCATATGGTCCGGTTTCGGATCAGTTTAGTTCGGTTTGGTACGATTCGGTTCGTTTAAACCAAACCATTATGCCCACCCCCTACTAGCAAGTAAGATGGGTTAAATTGTATCTGCAATGGTGGGCCGTATCTTATTAAGTGATAATAAGAACTCATTACAACACACTAATGCCATCTGGCCAACGGACGTTCGTCTGTCTTACAAGGAGAAGAGCAGCGAACACTGCTACGAGCTATAAGGATGCTAGAATGATAAGGCGGGTAAGTTGCCTACCTTTTACAATGAAATAAATGCTACTATTTATACTACCAAGGGGCAGGTGGATATGCTGACGTGGAGAGTTGTGGGTGGTTGGCTTCTCAACCACCAAATCTCCAGCATTAAAAGTGTTTCCCGCCAGAATCCTGGGTTCCTGCCAAATATCTGGGGACGAGCGTCCCCATGAGTCTTGGGTCTAAGTGTTGATGATTCCACCAAGGATGGGATGTTGTTCGTCCTCTGAGTGTTGGCATAGGAGTTTGCCGGTTAACCCTGGGGACGTACGTCAATACTGATGGATGGCTGCCAGTGGTGCTCTGCGGACGTTCGTCGAGGGCTAGCTTCTGGATTGGGCCTAGTTGTTCGTCGATGTGGGCTAATGGGCCGAACCCCTGGTTGGGCCATTAACCCAACACACATAATCATCACAATCAAATTGAAATCTATTCTACCTAAGCTTGTTTCCTTAGAACAAGAACGATTTATTGCAGTAGCCCAAGAAGGGGGCTACTGGATAAAAAAAATAAGGAGCTCTAATGTTGTAGTAAAATTAGATATGGTCAAAGCACTTGACAAACTCTCATAGACTTTTCTTAAGGATATTATTGCAAAATTTATTTTTTGGGGAATCTGGAAGCTGCTAATTTGTGTATGCTTATTAATGGGGGTTTTCAAGATTTTTTCAAACCTAAGAAGAGTGTTAAACATGGAGATTCTCTTTCCCTTTACGGCTTTACCTATTCATCTTAGCGGTGTATAAGGATGGGATGAAGGGGAAGAGGAAATGGCGTGTAGTGGTGTAGTTGTGCGGGGCTTGAAATATGTGTAGAGAAGAGGAGGAAGCCGAAAGGAGAAAAGTGTTGACCCGTTGCTGCGCAGATACCAATAGGAAACACCAAATGAGGAGGAGCTGGGTATGGGATCAACGAGGTTGCTATATAAATATACACTACATCCATTCTTTTTTAATTATAATATAATAGTTTGAATTTCACGGTTTTGAATGTATAACTTCACTGTAATTATATTTGATTACGTATTAATAAACATTCTAAAAATAGAGTCCTCCGTCCCAATTTGATGTTCTCGTTACACTTTAGGATGTTTGACCGATGATAAAGAAAAAAATTACATATTCAGAAACTACATTAAAAGCTTTACAAAGTCGCAAAAACCAGAATCAAATTTGATAAAATTGTGATATATAAAGTAAGAAATTAAGAGTGATTTGTGTTGACCAAGTGAATAAGAACCGGGAACATCAAATTGGGACGGAGTACTAATATTTTAGAAGCCCACATTAAGAGAAACTTAACATTATTTAAACATAATAATTTGATTATATACATTTATATAAAATCATGACCAAAGTAAAGTGTGTGAAATGTCAACAATATAAAATTCAAATTGTTACAATTATTAAAGAACGGAAAAAATATATGTAAACCTGTTTTTTACCCGTGGGTCAATCCGACAGACGCGGTAGACCCGCGACCTGCTCTTTTTGACGGGTCGCCGGGCGGTCCATTTTTACAACACAGTTGGGCGGTACTATGCAGCCTTAGTAATATACGGTTCGTGAATAATACAATAATACGTACGTTCGTGTATAATACGATACAATTATATAAAATACGGCTTAATACATGTTTCATACGTTTGTGAAATATATAAAGATACAGACGTGTTTTAAACGTTTCACAATTTAAAAATACGACATATAGTATGTGTCTTATATACTAATTTAATGATGTAAATAAAGAGTTATTTAACATTTCCACCACATTCTTCAACAATTTAAATGTACGGAATAGTTTTTTCAGATATATGGATTTGAATGCATAGGTACAATAAGTAATAAAAATGACATTGCCTATTTAAGTAGATGTAGAGAGATATTACTAGAGAATAGTTGATATTACTGTGACCGTTTGATGAGCCGCCACAATATTTCTCGATCTCTTCGGAGTCTTGGTATGGGTGGAGAACAAAAGTAATACAATAGTAATATCGAAACAGATTACGAATTTAAGAAGCTAATTTATTAAATGTAATGACTATTAAAAAATTAACGAACATATAAGGCATAAAGTTTTTTTAAGCAATATAAATAATATTGGGCAGCTAGACATTTCATTTCAGTTGTATCACTCCATTGGGCTTCCGTTTAATGGTGTGTGTTTTTAAATAAAATATGTATCAATACATACAGTATGTGTGTTATACATTTAATCCTTAATGTACGTGAATTTTTCAAATTTTTTTGAAAAGCTCATAAACGAGAGTATTATTCGTGAATAAAATACGTATCAATACGTACGGTACGTGTATTATACATTTTATCGTTAAAGTACGTGAATTTTTCAGAATTTTTTGAAAAATTCATAAACAAGAGTATAATACGTGAATTATACGTTTGAATTATACGCGAATTATACGCGAATAAAGTAATAGAGGTACTATGATCCTCTCTACGTAACCGGAGTAATAAACTAATAATCTTATAAAAAGATAAAGGAAGGAAGAAAAATACGTGGAGTGTGCGGGATGTGCACAAGTCATCACACCCAGTCACGACGGTCGTCACTCAACTAACGGCGCCCCGGCGGAAAATGTGAACCCGGCCCACAAAAGGAAAGAAAAACAGGGAGCTGATTGCAATCCCACGAGGCCGTTACGTTAAACGGGGGTTTCGTATTTCAGTAAAACTGGTATTCCACCGCTATTAATATCTGTAGCTACTACAGCTTTCATTCACGTCAATCTTCCTACCTCGCTTATCCGTCGCACCGATTGGATCTCCAGCGAAGGTACGCCGCCCGCTGCTCTCCTTCTGCAAACTTTTGATTTCTATTCTACGCAGATCTAGCAGTTTCTGTTATGTGAATTTCAATCTAATTTGTGCGCGAGAGATAGTGTTACTGCGTAGCTTTGTGTTTTTGTTGGATTTTGTTCTGTGCTCTGAATCGATTGCTTTTCTGAATTTTATTTTTCCGGATTAGCTCACATTACTATGTCTCTCAGTCTGCCGCAGAGTTTCTCGTCTGCTCATTGCGATCGTTTGAGAATCAGTTAGTATCTACTTGACCATGAATTCTCGAAGGTAAGACTGCTAACTTTTGACATCACGATGTTCTTCATTTTGCCTCGATGCTTTATAGTGCTCGTTGAATGTGAATAAGTGATTTCGGAATGGATTGATCGGATTTATGCACGGGGGACTTCTAGAGTATTCTTATATGCTTCAATGTGAATTAGGAGCAAGTTAAAAGTAGGAAATGTAATGTTTTTCTTCATATGCAGATAACAATGTTCGCTTAATCGCTTGTCTCTCCTACTTGATGCCAGACATAACATACCAAATTTTGCCATCATAATTTATTTGGCTTTTGCATTATAGTTATAAACTGGCTCAATCTCATTCCTCTGCTCTTATTTGCTGTTTAAATCTATGCATCAGTAAATTTTATTATTCATCCTATCTTCTAAATGACTTCTGGTCATCAGGGACCGTGGTGCTAGAGCTGCTCTGTTTGATGGCATTGAGGAAGGTGGAATCAGAGCTTCATCATCATATTCTTCTCATGAGATTGATGAGCATGAAAATGAAAAGGCACTAGATGGACTGCAGGATAGAGTCATTCTGCTTAAAAGAGTACGTGTTCTCTGTATCCTTATTTTTCAAAGATATGAATGTTTTAGTTTCTCAAAAAGCGTCTAAGTTGAGTAGACTTTGAACTGATGTGAGTAGCAAATCCTAGCAGAAGGGGTTGCATATGAAATTATGAATAGAACAATCATTTGTGTGTGTGTGTGGAAATCGAACATTTGGTAGGGTTTGATTCAAATGGAGGACTGTAAGAGAGTAGGAAGGGTGTGTTTTGATTTCAGGAGAATTGGAAGGCCTGCCTTGCTCTGAAAATGCAACTTGTTCCTGTAATCCGGGCCATTAATCTGTGTTTATTTTTGTTTCCTTAAACAAACAGTTTCCTTCGCTCAGTTGAATTTTCTCAACCATTTTTTCATGGTCTATATTATTTTTTCTAATTATAAAGCATAGAGTACGACTGAATAAGTTGCTATTACAGCTGTCAGGTGACATACATGAGGAGGTCGAGACCCACAACCGCGTGCTGGACAGAATGGTATCACATCATACCTTAACGATATAGCCTAGAAGATATTTCATTTTGGTCCCACGACCATTATGTCAGTATCACTTGTGGCCCCTGGTTTCCATTTAATCCATATATGTGCCCCAAAAGTTAGAAAAGTGAATGTGAGGACCAAAAGTGAAAATGAGCTAATAGTTCTTTGAACAAAAAATGGTACTACATCAAAGCATATCACGTATCATAATTGTTTTTATTTTCTGTCATGGTCAGGGCAATGACATGGATTCCTCAAGGGGAGTGTTAGCTGGAACTATGGATAAATTTAAGATGGTGAGTTTCATCCACACTCCTTTTTTTTTGCTTCAGCTTGACATGTACATGCGCTGATTATTTTTTTCCTTTGATGATTAAGGTGTTTGAGACCAAATCAAACCAAAGAATGTTCACCCTTGTGGCATCATTTGTGGTTCTGTTTCTGGTGGTGTACTACCTGACTAGGTAAATGGTCTGACAAGAGTTGGGGTATCTGATCTCTTCTGGGGGTTTGTAGAACGCTGTTGATGATACCAGGCTTAAAAGTAATCATGCTCTCTGTCTATATCACCAACCCACCTGAGTTTGATATAAAAATGTATCTTTGTATAAAAATGTTCGGTGCATAATACTTTCTCAAGTTCTGTCTTCTAGAATGGATAATGATATCAACTCTAGTCGTTATTACCTTTGTTATAGATATCTCATATACCGAACCATGATCTTTTGTTGAAATGAATACATCATGTTTTGCTGGCTCACTGTTTCACACTATGAGAGTATAATATCTCTGAAAGTATAATACGAAGTAGTGTCGAATAAAAATGTTGTTTACGTGTTTCTTTTCCTTCGAAACAGAAATGGTAGAAATGCTTGGGGGAAACATAGAATTGAAAGGGAAGATAATTTTAAAAAACAGGTTCAAACTCAATACGGAGTAAATAAGTAGATGATTAAAGAAAAGCATCCAAGGCTTGTCGTGAAAGAGTTTGAGGCCGGCCAACACGTCAGGCATATGAAATCGGAGCTCAAAAGATAGAAAAGCTAAAAGGAAATAGAAAAGATAAAAAAGATGAATAGAAAGATTGTCACACGACTTGCTTATCTGAATTGTCATATCCATCATCCAACTTTTGCATGGCTTCCTACACTATTCCTAAGTAACCTTGAATGTATTAGAAAGATTCCTTAAACTTTTACTTATATGCAATACCTTATAATTATTATTGTTCCCCTCACTATCTCATTTACACGCATTTCTAAAATCAATCACAAATGGCTCAATGAATGAGCGGTAAGCACATTCTATAACCCTGCACGGTATTTTCTTAAGGAACCCTAATTTTAACACATCTAGATCGGAACTACAAGATGGCTAGCAAGTTAATTGAATATTAAACCCATCTCAAATCCCTTCTTATATGAAGTCACTGTGTGTTAGGCTAACATTGTTGTATGCAAACATTAGCGAAACCGAACACACGCCTAAGAGAGGGGCAAATTATGTGCTCTAAAACTTTATTCCTAACAAATGCGAATTCAATGAGTTGGAAACAATAGAGTCAAGCAGTAGGATGTGACTGTCATTAGGAAGTATTTCGAAGGGTAAAAAGTGATGTGAAACAATTTTTCTATTAGGAAGATAAAGAAAAGTAAAATAAGCTAAATAATTATGTTTAATCTAAAAGGTGACGTTATAGACAAATTTCAATGTAAGTAGTTATATAAACGTTATAAATACGCTTTAAATGTGTAAATGCAATATTATATGTCTGTTGATATAAACAGTTTGTGTTTAATGTAGTGTATATGGGTATGAGTGTTCTAAACGCAAGTCATTAATGTGTGAATATAGTATTGTTTGTAATGACTTGTTGACATAAATGGCATATATTTAGTGTGAGGTTTAAAAAGTTTTGATTATGTCTGAAAAATGTAAGGAAAAATAACTTTGAATAATACAAACTATCTTCCATAAACTAAGAATAATACGTGCTTTGAAAATAACTTGCAATAATACCAAAAGTGATATAGAGCATTTTTTCACCAAAAATTTAGTCATTTAATTCACCAAAAACTAATATTAAAATATCAAATAAGTGACTTTATTTCCGAATATCATTTATTTGGTGGTTTGCAATTAGTTTTCGATGTCTAAATGACTAGATTTTTTGTTAAAAGTGACTCCATATTTTTGTAAATATAATATCGAGTATAATTTTTGTTGAAATAAATGGTTTATGTTGGGTATATATAATACTCCGTAGAATATTAAATGTAAATGATTTTATTAATATTAAAAATGCATGCTTGTACTAATGTATAAATGTAATATTGTTTATTATGCATATAAATGATAAATTATGCTATAAATGGTGAAAATGTGTAACTATAATATTCTATATACCTGGATATAAAGCGTCTATGTGGTAAAGTGTAAATGCTTCTATAAATGTTGTAAAAACATGCAATTGATGTAGTGACGTATAAAATGTGATATTGATATTGTTTGTTGATTTAATTGTTACATGTTTGATGTAAGCATTGTCATAAATGTTTTAAATACGTGTGAAAAGGTGAAAATGTAAGACACGACAAACATAATTGAGTTCAATTGTAAACCACTGGAATTAAAAAACATAAAGTTGAAATGTTTGAAAAAGAGTAACGGCAAATATTTTCTTTGAAAGGAAAAGTGATATATATTAATTCAAACTATCGTTCTCCAATTGGAGTACAATGTAATGAGGTGGAAAACTATAAGAATAGTACGGATCCAGTTGCAATAGGGCAGCCCTTGCTAAAGAGTGAGCTACCTTATTCGCGGATCTTTTACAATGGGTGACTTCAATGCTAGCTTCATTATGAAGAATGTGTCTAATATCTTCAAGAATTGTATCGAAGTAGGAATCCCCTTCACGATCCATAATACCCGAGGTGATCATCATAGAATCTGTCTCCAACTTCACTTGCTGCCAACGTTGCTCTTTGATCCACCTAATTACCTCCCGAACACTGATGGCCTCCGTTACGGCTGCCGTCCAGTTTGCTCGAACGGTCTGGCTGCCACCTGCCAAGAAATCTCCTTGGGCATTTCTAGCAACCCATGCCCAAGCCCTCCTTCCGCTTCCGGCCCCCAAAGCTGCATCCACGTTTACTTTAATGCTACCCTCTGGCGGCTTCCTCCATCGAGATATGGATTCCCTGGCCTGATGCTCAATTTTAGTGCGTTGCGCCTCTATCCAACTTCCCAGCATGCTCTTCCCCTCCTCAGCTATTTGCCACCATCCTAGAATTTTATGTTTCCATACCTTTGTATTGCGAGCTTTCCACAAATTCCAGAGGATGACCACAAAGAGGCTGAGCTTTTCCTGCTTCATATTATCAAAAAAAATCTTCACCCAATTTTCAAAGGTGTCTCCCGTTCTAATAAAACTATATCCGAGATGACGCCACACTCCTCGTGCTACATGACATCCACGGAAAAGGTGAAGTTCCGTTTCAGTCTCTTCCGCACAAAAGTTGCACATCCCATCCACTTCCACACGCCTTTTAAGGAGATTAACTGATGTCAGAAGGATGCCGGACATAACCTGCCAGAAAAAACATTTAATTTTAGGGGGGATATTTAAATTCCACACCTTGGTCCACCCAGTCCATCCTGATTCCTGGTACTCTCCTTTAAGCTTTCTGTAACCACTCTTCACTGTGTAGATTCCCCGCGGGTCTGCGTTCCACCATATCCCGTCCACTACCCTTCTTGTGCTCAGAGGAATGTTCAAGATATTTTGATTATTTTCCTTCTCTTCAACCGAGAACAAAGATGTGATTCTGTCTACATTCCACCCATCACCTCTCTCATTGAGCAACGCGGCCACGTTCATATCTGAGATTCCTATTGGCGGTGGGGTGTGGATCCTCCCATCATCCGTTCCGGGTAGCCACCTTTCTTTCCAGACCGAGATCGATTGGCCCTTTCCCACTTTCCGGCGCAATCCTCCCTCCATCAAACCTTTAGTGTGAATAATGCTACTCCAAATGAAGGAGGGGTTGCCCCCCGTTTTCGCCTGTAAGAAAGAACAGTTAGGATAATACTTTGCCTTATAGATTCGGCCGACTAAGGACTCAGGTTGTTTAATTAGGCGCCATGTTTGTTTCCCCAACATTGCGATATTAAATTCCCTCAGCGAGCGAAAGCCGAGTCCTCCCTTCTGCTTAGGGTAGCACATGGCCTGCCAGGACTTCCACCGGATGCCTCTCCTAGTTGAGTCGGAACCCTTCCACCAGTACCCATTCATTGCATAAGATGGCATGGCCTGAATGACTGTCTTGAGCATAATTTCCCGGCCTGCTTTGGATAAGAATTTATTATTCCAGTTTCCAATCCTGTTGATAATTCGCTCCTTTAAATAACTCAGAATTTCCATCTTTTTCCTACCCACAAGAGTCGAGAGTCCTAGGTACCGTGGCCTACTATCTTCCGTATTAACCTGCAAAAAATTGCAAATAAATCCCTTCAAATCCTCGCTAATGTTTGGGCTAAACATTAGCGAAGATTTTTGATAGTTAACTTGCTGGCCTGATTCCTCCTCATAATATCGGAGAATATTTTTGATCGTCTGACATTCCCCTTCACGAGCCCTGAAGAATAAATAACTATCATCTGCAAAAAAGAGATGTGACACTCTCGGTACACGTCTAGCCACCGCTATTCCCAACACATTACCCATATCCTCCTGTCTACGAATAAGGGTACTCAAACCCTCCGCTATCAAAATGAAGAGATATGATGATAGCGGGTCACCTTGTCTAAGCCCTCTGGTCGGGATTATAGGTCCTATCATCTCACCGTCAAACAGAACATAATATTCCACGGAGGAGCAACATGCCATAATTAAATTGATCCATTTTGGGTCAAAATTCATGCCATGCATGACTCGTTTCAGATAACTCCATTCGACACGATCATAAGCTTTGCTCATATCAAGCTTTAGGGCCACCAGGCCCTCTTTTCCATGTCGCTTTTGCTTCAAATGGTGAATTGTTTCAAATGCTATCATCACATTATCAACAATCGAGCGCCCCGGGATAAAAGCACTTTGATTAGCCGAGATAAGGCCATTAAGAAGGCCTTTTAATCTATTAGCTAGTACTTTAGTAAAGATTTTTATTAGCACATTGCAAAGGGCGGTCGGTCTTCAATCCCCCATCGTTTCAGGAGTTTCTTTTTTGGGAATTAAGACCAGGTGTGTGCTGTTAACCTCTTTTGGAATATAGCCAGTAGGGAACAAACCTTGACAATACTTGACAATGTCCTCGCCTAATATATCCCAATACTGTTGGTAAAAACCCGGGTTCAACCCATCCAGTGCAGTAATTGGCCTTGTAAGGGTACTATTCTGTTCTGCATTTACTTGAGCCAAGCCAGTCAAGATATCCCCTTCCGCCTCTCCTCTCCCTGTCGAAAAAAGGGTCGAGTAAAACTCCTGTATCATATTACCCATTCTATTTTTATTCCTCTCCCACTGTCCGGAAGGTAATAATAAGCCCTTCATTTTGTTGCGCCTTCTGCGTTGTTTAACCGAATTATGGAAAAACTTCGTGTTTCTGTCTCCATCCTGAAGCCAAAAATTTTTAAGCCCGTTGTTTCCAGAAGATATTTTGCCGCTGCAAGAGGTCCACCAGAACGTTTTTGACCCTATGAAATTCCCCTGCGTTCCACCAAACATCAATTCTTGCTTGGAATCCCACCTGATGATGTTTACTCCATAACTCCGGTTCAACACCACAGCCCAAAAGGTGTTGCCAGACCTCCAAATTGCCGGACGTCGCCCAAGCTCGCTGCACAGTCTCCCTGCAACCTTCCTCCCGCAGCCATATATTTTCGAATTTAAAGATCCTCTTCCTCCTCCTGGTTCCTGTTTTCAGCAGCCTTATATATAGCATCAGATGGTCACTGGTTGGTTCTTCCATTGAGGTAGCTTGATATTCCCCGAAGGTGTTCATCCAACTCTCATTTGCCAACAACTTGTCCAGCTTCTTTTCAATCCAAAATTGGGTTCCCCGGCCTCGTTCCCACGTTAATTGACAACCTTCAAAGGTTACATTTTGTAAACCGTTGTGTTGAATCGCCTCCCGAAAACCACGCAGCATCCAAGGGGACTGCGGCACTCTGCCCCGCCATTCGGATTCGGAAACAATGTCGTTGAAGTCTCCCATAACAAGCCAAGGCTTGTCCGAGAGCAGTGATAGGTGTCGGAGCAACGCTCATGATTCTCTTCTCCTGGCTCGGTCCGGATAGCCATAAAATCCCGTGAAACGCCATTTCGTTTCATCATCATCAAATTGAATTAGACAATCGATGTAATTGACTGCCTGGCCGATGATTTCCACCGAGATGTTGTCACGCCACAATAAACAGAGACCCTCCCCCCAAACCATGACTATCAATAGCGAAGCATCTGTGAAAACCCAGTTGAGTACCAATTGCTTCGCATCGAGTCCCCTGTATTTTCGTCTCCATCAAGAATAGAATACCTGGGCCTTTAGCTTGTACGGTGTCTGATAAAACCTGAACGGTTGCAAGATTACCCAGTCCGCGACAGTTCCACGAGACGATGCTCATCTTTCCAGTCCCACTTCTTCCTCCGACGTTAGAGACCCAGCGAAGCCAAAAAACAGAGAGCCAAAGTGCCAAACAACGCCGTGCTAGCGCCGCCGCCGCCCAAACTAAGCCCTAATCAGAGTAACAGCAAATATAGAACACAAATGATGTAGCAAAAAATGTCATTGCTAAAGAAACATATGTGGTAATAGAAGCACAATTAAGGAAAACTTGATATATTGAAAGTTTGAAACATTACACAGAAAGTTTTTTTTAAACAAGTAGCGAATTTACAAAAAGTATTGCTCAATTAATAGAAGCCACAATTTTCACCTAAAATTACAAAAATGCCCTATTGTATGCTATACACCATACAACCAGTTGTACGATATACGAACTCGTGTGCGTTTTGGGATGGGGACAACGTGAAAACACCATCCCGCAGTATAAATCCCCGTTATCAACCGTCCACTTGATGTATGGGTAGAAATGAAAGGACTTTGTTTCTTGCTATTATATGTTCATGAAGTCAACAACGATATATGGAGTTCTTGGTATACATCAAATTACCATGATAATCAATACAATGATCAATCATCTACCTTCTGCTATATTGTGCGTCTAAACAACCCAGTTCTCTTTAGTTCTATGTTTTCCTTCTCTCTATCACTACACAACGCTAAGCTTGCCAGAAAAAAAAACAACTAAAAAGAGGGAACCAAAAAAACATTGAAGGAAAACCAAAAAACTTGTCTGCAAGCTTGCCAGCTGATGGGCTTCTATTCAACTGTTGTCAGTGAACTGCTAAAGATCAACTGAAATCTATCAATCTGCACGTGGTAATAAGAAACTAAATCCTGAATTTTCACGAATAAGCGGTGGCGGTTCTATATCTGAGATATCAATCTGCTCCATTGGCTTCGATAGATCGTCCACTGAGAATGGTATGCTGCAACATACCCAACATTAACACATCATTGGTTAATGTAATTAAACAATATGACATGATATCATAAAAGTAGGATTTGTGGTCCTCTCCCAATCTGAGCGAGCATTGATAAAATGAACCACATTTTATCATTGGTGTATCTTGTTAAAAGTCTCAGATTGAACCAAGTTGTAAAATGTCTTCTCTATGTGAAGATGTTATTGTCTGTACCAAGATGACATTCTGTATAATTTTTCCCACATATTATAGAATCAAACAACATGATTTTGTTTGTGTGAACAAAAAAATGTTGTACAACTTGGTTGTACACCAAAGTTACTCTAAAAAGAAACATATGAGTTAATGGAGCATTGAGTTAGGCTCATGCATCGACCAAATTATATTTTAATTGATCAAATTCTGAGATGCTTCTTATAACACAAAGGATATGTAAAATGGACTTAAATCCAACCTCGAATCATCATCTAGCAGAAAAGAACTGCTGACAGCATTGTTTGAATCTTCGGTCATTATACCTCTCATATTGGATATAACCTGTCAAAGCAAACAACTATTCACGATTGATGAACTGCCTTCTTAAAGCTAATAAGGTGTAATATACATCTGACGAAGCATAATGGTTGTGGAATCAAATAAAGAAAACAATCCTGAAATGATAATTTTTTTTGTAAACTTAGATCTTTTAAGTATCTTACTTCGGGTGAAAGACTGTGAGTGCCATATTTGTCATCCCAGTACATTGTACTGATTCTGTACAACTGTTGAACACTAAGCACCTGCAAGTGGTCACTTGTGAGAACAATATGTAACACATATCTGGCCACATCATTTGGAGGATGTAATGGTAAAGTGTACTTACAGGGCATAAATCATGGCTTATCTCATCAAGTGTCTTCTTCGGTTTCTGGTGAATGACCTAATAATGATGTAGAAACCATCATATTTGTCACACTTTTATTTACAACATTTAGACTGGAGCTGCAAAGAGAATCATATATATACCAGAAATCCTATTGCTTGCCTTATGTGTTTGAGCTCTTCCCATGCTGAACCTGCATACTGTGAAACACATTGTCTTATTTGAGAGAATATGTTATGAATCAGTTGGGTTGTGTCTAATTCAAGCTCGGAAGAACTCTCTTCAGGATTTTTCAACCCTAATCAGAGAGTTCAATAATTCATAGTTTAGCCAATACAGGACACACTACATCAGAGTTATGCCCTGTAAGTACATCAGATTTTTCAACATTGGTGCTAATAAATTGACTGATTTTACCACAAAAGGGGAAAAGAGTTACCTCATCAGTTGCTTTATAGCACCAATGTTCAAGCTCAGCAAGCCCGGCCTTAACATACTCACCGTTGCTAAATGAGCAGCATTCTCGTCTTAGTAAGAGGCTACAATCATGATAGATGCTTGTTAAAGAGTAATTAGCATGCAGAAATTGACAACATACTCCCAGAAAACTAAAGAGATGATTGGTATCAGTCTGAAACAAACCTGTTGAACAGTTGGACATTGACGAACGAGAACACTTGTGTAAATACTTTGCGAACTAAAAATGGAGGTACCTAAAGTATATCTCGATCAATTAAAAAATGACAGTAAAAGAAAGAGCATGAACGAAACATCGGTTAGTTAAATAAAGTTCTTACATGATTGGCTTTCAACATGTCCAGAAAATTGGAAAGGCTTTTGACAATTCCTTGCCAGTGAGCAATCAGAATCTCTTGAGCAGCAGCATTTGCAAGGGTACGTGCTGTCCCTTTAATCAAGCTTGCCCTTGATATCCTTGGTGCCTAGTTCATCCAGGAATTTAAATAAGTCAAGAAGTCCAACAACATATAAGAGTGGAATGTGGACACTTTAGCAGTTTTATTTAATACAATTACATAATGAAAAATAGGCAAGCACCTGGATGCATAACCCAAGCATGGGAGAGATCTCTTTCTTCAGATTATCACGGATCATTCCATAAATCTTTTCCACATAAGCTGTTAGCTGCTGCTTGAATAGAAGAGCGGGATATTTGGCTTCAACTTGGCGTAAGGTATCCACCCCACCTGGTGAATCACCATCAATGAGAGAAAGATTCACCCCTTGAGGAGTTCCACGAAAACTCTAGAAAATATACATGTTAGCTTTAATCGTGCACTTTGAAAGTCTAAAGAAAGAAAGATGAACTTACATTATTAGTTTAGAACTGCTAATAGATTATATTCGATCTTATAATGTGGATTCACTCATGTGAATTATGACATAGTTGAAAGACTATGATCCAATTAGGAATTCTATTAGTTTAAGCTAAATGACAAAAGACCCGCATCCTAATTCAAACATTTTACCTGTGTCATTCTCCCAAAAAGAGTTGCGGATGATGATCGTCGATGCTGTGGAGCCATCCCAGCAGCCCCACTAGCTTTCAATGTACGTTGAAGCAGAAGCAGCAAAGTTGATGCATTTGACAACCAATAAGCTAATATATCATTGTTATCCTGGGTTTTCTATTAAATAGAAAATTAAGGTATTAATCTCCCCCGAAAAGATGCAATTCCAAGCCTTAACAAAAAGCAGCTCACATTTTAATAATCCCAATTATATTAACCAAGATCCATTTTTTGAACCACATATTTAGCTTTCTAACATTCTACCTCAATAGCTTGGCCGATGGTCTGTATTATCCGGTCAAAGATGCTGGTCCTCTCAACTTCAAAAGACCGCCATTGCCTAAGACATTTGTAGATTATGCATGCAGCAACAGGCCTTCCCTTAGAAAAGCCCAAATGCTGAGCAACACAGCGGATGAGCAAGTCTTGATACTCTTGTTGTTTCTCGTTGAGGGATTTTTGAGGTCTTCCCTCAACCTCATGACCATCTCTTGCATTTAGTGAATGACTGTGAAGATCCTGCAATTATTGCCGCACTAATTATTCAAGGACAGTTATGAGGGGGGAAAATTCTGATGTGCCTACATTATGAAATGTGGTAATAAATCCATATGGGCCCATGAGGGTCCTGTGCGGGTTTAATGGGACCCAAGTGAATATATTTTGATTTTGTAATGATGGTACCGTAAAGTGCGTCGATACAGACTAGATTAGGAAAACAGAGAACTCATGTGATGAAGGATATATGTAATCGAGAAAATGATGCAAATATAGAAACTTACTGATGTGCTAATGGTACTTTTTGTGCTTTCAGTTCTCTGTCAGCATTAGAAATGGGATAAGACATAACTAGATAAGTGACTGATAGAATTTGATGTCCAATAGGAAAGAAATAAGGTCCGGCTTGAGTGAGTACCTGAATGATTGACCTTGACCGCACTGATTGCAATTTCGTACTTTGTGCCATTGCTAAAGCTTGTTGACGAAGGACTTTATTTTCCGACTCAAGGTTGGCCATCTTCTCTTCAAGCCTATATATGCAAAGGACAAGAAAATCACATTGGCGTCTTTAAAATGTTCATGAATGTAGGATCGAGGCACTCATGTGAAAAACTCTTTGGTGCAAGTAAAATCATGTTCATCCAAACCAAAGGCAATTCATTTTGTTTTCTTCCTCGTGATTCACATTGGTACCCATTAATTTTAGGATCTAATACCTAACAACAAAAAATGAGCGGAAAACAATACCAATGAGGAAATGGCCACACCATCTGTAGGCAGTATGTGTTGATTTATCGTAAAAGTCTATTTTGTGCTTGTGAGAAGTGATTTGCTTCAGAACAATAAATAAAAAAGCCAGTTTATTCTGACTCATATCGCGTTTTCCTGTGCATGTGAGATGTGATTTGCTTAAGAAATTATAGATAAAGTGATTAATAGTTAAAGTTTGAAGTGTTTGAAAATAAAGGAGATTTTTAGAAAGTAGAACTTAGGGTGTTTGATAAATTTTTTTTGGTGTGTTATTTAGGTAATATATTATATAAAAAGTGATAAGAAGTTTTAACTTCTAATCACCCTTTCCTGTATGTAGAGCTTTTTTGCTTTGAAATGTTTGAATTTAAGAAGAAACACATATTTGAAAACACTACTCTTTAGTTTTTTTAAAAACAAAAAGTACAAAAGTTTATTTATGCCATGACAAACACTGTTATGAGAGACTATCTAACTTCATGGCCAAGGTTTTAAGGTTGAGACTCACACTCCAGCTCCAATATGTTTGTGGGCTTGCTTAAATTTGAAAGATATTCAGCTCATGATGATAGACTGAATTTCTATGGAAAACTAAGGATTACTTGCTTAAAGAAGCACAAGAAAAGGTTACCTTGTGACTGACTCCTGAAGTTGTTGAACTCTTTTTTCAGTTTCTTCCAACTTTAGATCCTTTTCTTCACTTGATTTCAACAATTCTACGCATTTACTTTCAGAATCATCTCCCCTTTGTTTTGCGGATTGCAATTGAACCTATCATGAAGCACCAGTACATTTAGTAAGGTAAAATATGTTTAAAATCTTTACTTTTCAAAACGGATGTTCAAACTATGAACATTAACTAACCTTCAAATTTTCAACTTCTGCAGTTAAGGAATCAATTTTTTCTGTATCTTCAACGGGTACAGGTGTCTCTTTGACAATTGAAGACGCTTCTTCAATAGCTTTCTTAGCCGCTTCCCGTTCACTGATTAACAGTGCATTTGTTTCTTCCACTTTGCTTTGCGACGCTTGTAAGGAACTCTGCAACTTTGCAATTTCTTGGCCTTTTGCCTCTTCCAAATCTGTCTGCAGAAAGTTGTTAAGTTTATCAAAGAGCAGAGACACGTATGGTAAAAGATCAAACATCCACATGATGAATATCATTACCCTTAGCCTTTTCTCCAGCTGGACACGCCAGGTAAGTTCTTCAACCATTTTTTCAAGCTTATCCTTTGCTTCTTTAAGTGCCCCCGTTTCTCTTGAAGCCTAAAAATATATAAAAAGTCCAAATCTTTAAGGGACCAAGTAGTGAGGTTTCATTTTATCAATAAAAAGTCGCACAGTGACATTTTAAAAGGAAATCTAAAATTAAGACGAGTAAAATAATATAAAGTGGAAATTTTTTTTTCCCAAAAAAAATGCAACACCAGTAAGACAGTAATATCCCACAAGTAGCTAATTTGGGGTTTTTGTGAGGGAACAATATGTTTTAGGGAAGCAATGACATATCTTTTCCTACATGGCCTTAAACGCCCCACATCAAATTATTAAGCCTTTAGTTAGACTAACTAATCAATTCGATTCAATCTTTTAGTGGGTTGAGTGTGTGCATTATGACCTAGTCGAACCACCCAAAAGCAATTATGAAATTCTACCGATGCTACATATATGCATGGCCAGAGAAACCGTTGACCCCGCCCAGGGTAGTCTAGTTTTGAAATCCACATATAAACTGCAAAGTCTTATTGGAACTAAATTAATTGTCTATTCCAAATACTACCATCTTTAGTTTTCGAAGCTCTCTCCTTGCAACCCTTCCCCTCCATCTGCACTGTGTTACAATTGATGCCCTTATGAGTTTCTTGTAGTATGAGAAAGCTCTATGACCATGCCAATGTGCCTGCACAGTTATCAACCACTAATTAAGAACGACAACAACAACATCAAAAGCCTTAACTACTAATAAATAAATTAGCAAAAATTGAAAACTCAATATTGTGGTGAACAAATAGAGAAACCAATAACAGACTTGTATCATAGTTGCCGCCTTGTTTTGGTTTTTGTATCTGAAACTATTGCGGGCCGCCATTGCCCGCATCCCTGTCTGAACAGTAATTACTGCATACTGAAGATTCTTGTATGACTTCCAGGCCATGCGTCCACGCAATTTTTTCTGTATCTTAAGAGAAGCAGAAACCCTTTGCATATGTTCAAACAATTTGCAAGCGATCCAGGCTGTTAAATGTTGAAAAAAGATTAAAAAAGTTAATTTAAAAATATATTGTTTGCAAACAAAATCTAAAACTATACAAAATAAATCTATAAAGTCATCGACTACTCATCTAGTCATCCTATTAGGTTAATATTTCTGGATGGAACTCCGAGTCTTTAAATAGTACCAAAACATATTATGCTCTTGATGATTAAAAAATGAGCACAAAGACTTCAAGATCGGTTTCTCCAACATTTTATGTTTGAACATTGACATGCAAAAAAATCTCAGAAGTAAAGAAGCCAAACCTCGACATGCAGATTGCATAGATACTGCAGCCTCTTGTAAGGCAAGAAAGTATTTCCGGGCAATATGAGTTCTAGTTTTCCTTTGAATTGTCTTGGCTGCATTGTTTAGCTTTTGTGCCCTCCTAGAATCAAGCTCAGCCATCTGACCAGCTCGCAGGAAAACTTTTGTCTTACCAATCTGCATATTTATTCATTCTGTTTAAGAGAAAAGATTCACAATTCGGAAGGCAATGCTAGGACATGATATTACATGTGATGGAATATTACATTACATCACTTTAATATCATTTTGAAGTCACAAAGTAAGGTGAACAAAAGATATCATATTCAGGAAGTTGCATGTTTACATGTGATGGAATATTACATTACATCACTTTAATATAAGAAAAAATTATATGATATTGTAGCTTTAAGGTAACATTGATTTCCCAGAAAAGCAAACTTTAGATAACCTGAGAACCTGCAAGCCCCATCTTATCCAAAATAGCTTTGCATGCAACTTTTTCATCATAACTGTCAATACAAATAAAATCAAGTTTAACATAATTATGCAAAGGATAATGAAATTTAAGTAGAACACTAGAATGACAAAATACATATGATGAAATACTACTCCGCACGACCCAAAGAAATATCTTCGTGTGTGGCGGTGTGGTTAACGTAAAACCTTTTGATTTTGCCGAAGTACAACTCTTACATCAAGAAATCCTACTTTCATTTTTATATGTTAATTTTTTATTTAGCTGTGTTCATCTTGGACATGCATGGAACTTTTTGGGAAACTACACAAAAGTTAGCTCTAGCTTTTCAATAAAAAACACTTCTTCTTGGGACAAAATCTTTTGAAAAGACTCATTCTTTTGGGCAGAGGGAGCATCAATTTCTTGCTAGGGAGATAAACAAGATTATTACCTTCCTTCCAATACCTCGGGAGCAAGAAGACCGAAACGGTTAAGAAATTCAAAAAAGGTCTTACGAGTAGGGTAGCCAGCGCAACTAATTCTAATCGCCTCGAGGACTCCCTGAAATGAGGTCCACCATAATTCATTAGAAGAGTGTTAAGTGTTAAAAAATCAGATGTACCGTGCGAAATGTCAGTTATGTACTCACGCCACAACGCAGTTGCTGCAAGATGTTGACATTCTCAAAGATGGAGGGTTTTAGAAGATTGTTTGGCTTCACACATCTGATGTAATGAGGTTCGGTGGAGCTCAGAGTCTCCAACAATTGTTGGAGTTGTAGCTGCACCAATCAAACTAGAACGGTTAGAAGTTTCACCCAATTGAATTTCTCGTGTTTAGCACAGCAAATCATTTCCGGATAAGTCTTTCCTCTGTTTGACACCAAAAAATATTTCCCTGAGGTAAAATGAACTTTTGTGGAAATTGACATCTTGCTTTGAGAACGGGAAGTCATTTTCCCCAAATAAAATTTTTTTCCCTATATTTTCTGGTTAAACATTATATTTATACATACAACAACTTACTTTTTAGGGGGAAAAATCCCGAAGTAAATGAAATTTTGTGGGAAATGACATCTTGCTTTTGAGAACATGAAGTCATTTTCCCAAATAAAAAAAAGGTGAATGCTACGGTACCCCACAAATAAGTAAGGGTAACAAGCCTACCATGAATTTCATTGGTCTAACCCACTATTTCATTAGTTATTCATGTTTAAATTATTCAATTGCAATATTATAATTGATCCACATAGGCAAGGTACGACACCTTGAGGGTACCGTAGAAATTGCCTATAAAATATGTTCTATTTTTCTGGTTAAACATTATATTTATACGTAGAACAGCTTACTTTTCAGAAATCATTTTCCTCAAAAAACATGTCCTACGATTAGCTATTTACATGGAATCAAACAGAACCTTATATCATAAGAAAAGGCATACTCACTTCGGAAGATTTGGATGAATTTTTTATGAAATATATTCACGTGCATAACAGGCTAATGGTTAATTCCACCTTACCTTAAAACGAGAGCCAATTGATGAAAACTTTGAAGATTTGGATGATTTGTTTGTCTCATCGGGAATAGGAGGGAAAAGTCCAGCTACAAATGAGCATCTAGAGCCACTTAACAAATCTTGATGCTCAGGAACAACATAGTCTTTGTTCTTGTCCAAAAACTGATCAGATTGGTATAGAACCTGGCAGCAAACAATGATAACAACCCTATAAACACAAAACTGAATCCTAGTCGTACTTTATTTGAGATACACATCTTATTTAAGTACATCGGGAACTGGAAGTAATCCACATATAAGAAATGAACTTCTCAACCTTATCACTTAAGTTATAAGGTTAAGACTTATACTCCATTTCTTGTATGTTTGTGCGCATATTGAATTTAATTTAAAATCATCTCACATACCTCTCCAGCATAATGAGCAATTGCGAAGTCAGTACGAGACAGTTTTGGTTTGACAAAGCGCTTGTGGTTCTTGAATGTCTGATAAAGCTTTTGAGCGAAAGTTTCATGAGTTGACTTGGGAAACATACTGCAAACAGGATAGGTCCATCGAGAAAGAGAATAGAGGATTTAATTGGTTGTATTTGAAAATCGCATGCTGTATGAAAAATCAATTCACATCATATTATATGTTAGTTAGTTGCATACCAGGCTTCATCAAGAAGAGCAATGACACCCCCAGGTTTCTGCAAAACGGAAGCACAAAGGATTTCATGGAACTCCTACTTCAAAAGGTAACATATGAAATGTGTAGTAGATAGGTCTACAACACATGCTCCATGACAAAACTCATACAAATATACAATAATGCAAAAAAGTTTCATTTAAAGTGAGAAATACAATTTCAAACATGTTTTTTGTGAAGGGAAACTCAATCCCAAAAAACTTCTTTGTGTATAGAAGGTATCCCAAATGAGTCTTTATCTACGGATGTGAAACTTTCATATGCTTTCAACAAACAAGGAATAGATACCACAAAGTATGAAACTATTGAGGAAAGAACTTCTCAACCAAAAATAAATAAAAGGAACCTTTTCAATCAGATCTAGGACATCTTGGTTATCAACAAACTCAATATAGCTCCAATCAATTTCTTCTTTTGTATATTCCTCTTGTTCCATCTTGAACACGTGCTGAAATAAATGACAGTATTGAGAAACGCTATTACGAACAAGGGAACTGTGAGTACATGAAATGTCATCAACTATACCTGGTTAAAATGCTGTTGCAGCTTCTCATTTGTAAAATTAATGCAAAACTGTTCAAAACTATAGATAAGCATGACCACAAAATTAGCCATAAGTCCAATTAGTTACTCCATCCAGCTCCCAATAAGTGCCACTTTGAAGCAAACTTTTGGTTCACAATCTTTTTTGTTTTATAAAACCAAGAAAGATTTGGTGTTTTTTTACATATCTAACCCTTTTATAAAACTAGACAGCATAAAAATGATAGCATGGGTATTTTGAGAGGGGTATTGTCAAAAACATCCATTAAATGATTTTTAAATATGTGCAATTTCCTCCAAAGTTGACACTTATTTGAAACTAGAGGGGTCTATACATGTTTCTTTATACCATGTAACAAAATAACAATCACAACATACCTATTGCTTTTAAAACTTTCAAAACCATAAATGTCAAGAACTCCAATAAGTGACTTTGAGTTTGGATCTTGACCAATCGAACTGTTTATTTTGTCTACCAACCTATCAAAAATTAACAGTAAGCAAACACCCTTGGTATCAAAATATTAACTTTCTGTTACACAACTCAGTAAGCACTTAGCAAGACGGACGTAATATTACCAGTCAAATAAGCGACAATATATAGTCTTAGCTAAACCATCTCTACTGACTGCTGCATTCTCAGGATCAAGACTTCTTTTAATAACCTCTTCAGGGGTGACCATCACACGCTTTAATAATGCATCTTCTAATGCATCAGAGTCACACCTGATAAAAGAGGTTTATAATAAATAAATAAATTTTGCTTATCTTCTAAAAAATAAATTATCAAAAGTTTTATTCTCATACATTAGAAGCTCTGCTGTTGTTTTGAGATGAAACTTTGATTTGTCATCTTTAAGAACAGATGAATCAATTTCTTTTCCCTTTGAGAATGCAATATTTCCGAGATGAAGAATGGCAGCCACAACTCTAAATATTGCTTCCTGTGAAGAGAAAGAGAGCAACTTGTTGGTTTCGATTCAAGCAAATTAAAAAGGGGGATCAAACAAGAGATATAGAGAGATATGCTACAAAAGTAATACTTGATGGGTATCACTGATTCCAACAACATCCATAGCTCTTCGTGTTGCAAGATAATCATGAGCATCACTGACCCCGACCAGCTCATAGCAACTTGACTGATTCAAGTAATGAAAGGACTTAGGCTCCCCTAGCTTGTATTTTTCAATTTCCTGTAAAAAGAACCCATATTGTGTATCAACAAATTCAATAATGGTGGCTCATTGGAGTGCCAATGTGCCGTATTCATACTTAACATACGCACGCATACAGAACGGAAATGTCCGAAAAGGAAGATAGGTTTAGGAGGAAATCACCTCCGGCGGAGCTGCACAGAGAAGGTAGAAACAATGGTAGTTCCTCTCAGGGTCTGAAACCTGGCAAACACGAGATCTCTCGAGGAGATAAGTTCTAATAGCTGCTCCCGATATTTTTGCATTCTTGTCGAATTGAATCTCAACAAATTTTCCGAAACGACTGCAACATATACACACACAGAGATGAGCTTAATTAACAAGAATATATTCCGTTGTTTCCTCTTGAAGTAATCATCAATGAATGAGTTAATCACTGTCACTGCATGATTGCAGCATTACCTGGAATTGTTGTTTCGAACAGTCTTTGCATTACCAAATGCTTCAAGGACTGGATTTGACTGCAAATGCACCCAAAAAAAGTAATTCTTGTGCACGAATATTCTGTTATCTCAGTAACATTCATATATTCATATACCGAGTATTTCTCTAAAAGTAGTTGAGTAAAGGGTCAGTTTGGTGCTCGAAGTTGCAAAAACGGCGTTAAATAAGTTCTTATATAGAAGATTCTGTCCGGACGTGCCATTTGAGGTAGCTCCCGGTGGAATTTTGTGATAAATTTTTTTGAGTATCTTATTCATTAAGTCTAGTTTACTCATACCAAATTTCAGCTAAAAATTCAATCGGGAAGACATTCAAATGAATTCTTGAAGATAACAGCGCTTTTAACGGCACAGTTATCTTCAAGAATTCATTTGAATGTCTTCATGATTTAATTTTTATCTGAAGTTTAGTATGAGTAAACTAGACTTAATGAATAAGATGCTCAAAATATTTCATCAAAAAATTCTACCGGGAGCCACCTCAAATGGCACGTCCGGACAGAATCTTCTATATAAGGACTTATTTGACCCCTTTTTTGCAACTTCGAGGACCAAACTGACCCTTATCCCGAAGAATATCTAAAGAGAATATAAATTATTGACAGATATGACGGGGAGATATTAAAATATTACGAAGTAGGTTGGAATGAAGGATAAATTTTAAAAAAGTATTTGTAGTTGTAATAGTGTATTATTTTCAACATTATTGTTCTCATGATGAAAAGATTTATAAATGAGAACATTATTAAGTTACGGATGAAAAAGGAAAAATGTGAAGATATTAATGTTACCGAAAGTATTAATTTTAAAATTCTTCTTATAAACGGATAAATGCATTGTTCACAAATACTACGTATGTTCTATTGAATTTGTTAATCCATTGGATCTAAATCTGCTGCATTAATAAATGAGTGAGAAAATTCAAAAAAAATGGGGTGTTAATAAATGTTTACTTTTTTCCTTCTTCTTTTTTCCTTGACAAAAGAATGGAAAATTTTATTAAAAATGTTTTGTATTTACCTCAAGTTGTACACACTCGTGTACTGATTTTGTGTGCACACACAATTTTTTTCATTTTTGTAAAATAAATTGTAAAATAACTTGACAGTAATATAAACAATTTACTTTACAAAAATGAAAAAAATGTGTTTGTATAGACAAAAATGGGCGACCACGAACATGCTTTTTTAAGTTATATTTACCTCCAAGACTTGTTGTTCGACGGTGCGACCTTCAGTACCTTTGCGGCCCCCCAAATATGCAAGGTAGCGCATAAGCATTTTGGTTGTTTCGGTCTTACCAGCCCCACTCTCCCCGCTAACCAAAATTGAGTTGCTTTTCCCCTCGTTAAGCATTGCCCTATTTAATTTAATTTTTAGGTTAATCATTACAATTAGTTAGTCAAAAGAAATTGAATGAGCTCTCATTTCTTCATGCATATGGAATGAAGATTGATTACTTAATTAATGGATAGAGTGAAGGATGTGACCTGAAAGCAACATCAGCAATAGCAAAAACATGGGGACTAAGTTCTCCAAGAGGGGCTCCTTTGTATTGTTCCATCATGTGGACATCGTATATATGTGGCAGTTTTTGGAATGGGTTTATTGCTATTAGTATGCTCCCAGTATATGTCTGCCACAATATTATAAAATTAATTAGCTTAGTATGAATCATTAGTCATTAATTAATCATTGAACGCCGGGGAGGGTAGCTCAGCTCGTGGAGAGAGGGTGCTACAAGGGATTGAGTATGCGTTCAATTCCATGTATAGAATTGGGCTGGAATCCTACACACTCTCCGCCAATCTCTTATCAGCTCAATTTACTTTTTCTCAAATAAGTGTTCAGACATAAGTGTTCAGACGATTTCGGGGAGAGCTTTCTTAAAATATTACTAGTACTAAAATACAACTTGTGGAACAAAATGAGACTTGAGTGACTACTACAAGTACAAATTTATAGTCATTACCGTGTAAAACTTGAATATAGTTATAGTAACTAAAAGTTATCATTTCACATTTTGGTCCATAACTTAAATTTAATCATATATATTATATATTATGTAATATTATTTCTTCTTTTTTCAATGACTGAGTACCTGGTAGCTAAAATAGACATGTATGTAGATAAATAGATAGATGATCTAGCTTACATAAATTTCATTTAGTTGGTATCTGGTTTTCAAATTTTGCAACACTCCAGGTTCATGAAGATAGGATAGCTTGGTCATGTCGTCTACTCCTCCCGCAGGTGCATCCTCGTCTTTGGGATATATTTTTGATAAATTTGCAACCACCTACATATGTTAATATTATTTCACACCATTGTTACTATTGTTCGGATACATAACTAAATAAAATGGAGACAATTATTGCAATTATAATGTAAATGCGCTCAGGGGCATAATCGGAGCAATATATTGGGCTTGCCCGTACAAATATTTTCTTGATTTTCTTACACGAATTCTTTTACCTAATAATTTTAAACATTTGAAATTCGACGTTGGTATGGGCCTAGCATGGCCCCTCAACTACGCCCCTGAATGCGAGTACGTACCTGTCTCCCATCACTTGTGTCGACATGAACTTCTTCACCATTGATCTTTGAAACACGCCCATCGATCCAAGCAAGTGATGAATCCTCAATCCAAATTTGAGAACCTACTATTATATTCACAGATGTTCCTTGCATTCTATTGTGATTATGTTCTGGCCTTGGTCGAGATCAGAATCATGTCACCTCTTGATTGATGTAATGAAGGTTTTTGTCGATGTGAAAGAGACAAAATTTTGTATCATGCATTCAAAGCTGATTATGATAATGAAGAAGATGGGAAATAGTAGCTTGTTGAGTAATAATTGTTTCTATAAAATAGGAAAAAGTAATTAAAAGGTGTTATTTGGGACAAGGAAAAAATTCATTCTACGTAACCAACGATGTCAACGTGTGTTGTTAAATAACAAGCCAAGGAAATAGGAACATGGTAAATGAAAGCCATGCATGCACTTAAATTTTCACTATAATTATTCCTACACCACTAAGTAGCTATTATTAAGGAAAAACATTTGCTTATAGTGGAATACTTTTAGTTGTATTTTTGTTATCTTTAGGCTTTAACCTTTAGGAATTGGTTTGCTAGCTAGCTCTTAATCATTAAAAAAAAATAACTTTTTTAGTGACATGTAAATAAAGTTCCATCGGAGTTAATGTTTGCAATATTTGAATCAAGAAGCATATACTAACATTAGATAAAAAAATTATGTGAAATTAAATGTATACAATTTATTTAATTTGGTCCAACCATTTTAAGAAACCATTTTGGACAACAATAACTGTTTTGTGACTTTGTCTTAGGATAAATCTAGTATTTTGGCGATTTCCAATCTGGATCGGAATTTGATTACCCTACCCTATGTCCTAAAAAAGGTAAAGTTTAATCAAAATACAATTTCTTATTTTTTCAAATTTAGAAACAACATATAGATCATTAATGCGATACTAATTTTATTTTACCAAAGAAAAAATGATACTAGTTTTATAAAAATGTCAATACAAAGCCTAACATGTTAGACTTGTTTCTTCTCTGCTTTTACAATGTTATTGAAAAGTCTATCTTGATTTAATTTAAAAACAAAAACCCTTACTGATAAAAAGATTATTGATATGATTTTCTTAAGAAAAGAGAGTTGGACTAGTTGGACTAGTTTGAAGTATTGTTATTACGGGTTTTGTGTTGAGAAAATAATCACCCCTCTCTTAAATCTTAAACAATGTAACAATCGTTTGCTCTAATCATGTTGGGTCATGCATCAATAAATAAAGCATTAACAGATTTTAGACTACATACATAAGATTTACACATCCACAAAGCCATCAACCCAAATTTCCCGACACACAAATTACAATATATAATTGTCAGAGGGGTTTTTCAAGAGGTTAAACTTGTTCTAAATAACACGCCCCTCAATTTATGGGCTCCAATTTTTAAAAATTTATTCGTATTATATAGTAGTGTTATATATTAATCCTAATCAATAAAATACAGCGGTAAGGAAGAAAAATGCACATTCATCATTTTTTCCATCGACCCTTTTAGTTGTCTTTTACTTAAATTGTTTGATAATGAGTTGTGTTGCTTTAAATCAAGTATTAAGTAACTTTTAGAAAATCTTGAGTTGCATTGTTTAATGAGTATTCGATAGATTTGAGTAGAGAAAAATGTCAAAATGGTACTTAAACTTGTCATAAGTAGCATAAAGAGCACTTCACCAAGCAACAGACACCCCAAAGTACATAAAATTGATATTTTTGGGTTGGTTTAGTACATCTTTAATTCTAGTGTTAAAACGTAAAAACAGCTGAGATGGCATGAAAGAGCCGTTTATTTTGTACCGTTACTATCCAAGCCAGCAAATCACTCTTATAAACCCTAATTTCTTTCTGCAGCTTTACTACATCTTCTCCTAATTTCATTTGTTGTCTTCTCTCCTCCTCTACGTAAGCTACTGTATCTCCTTTCGTTTCTTCCTTTGCTTTCACTGTTCTTCGACTTGCTGGTATTGTTTTTGTTTTATTGTCTTCTTCACGTACTTTATCTTCTTCTTGTTCATTTCATCTTTCTCTTTTATATGGCTTAAGCTTTGGTCTTAATTTTATATCATTTGCAGAGGAAGCATGTCTTATGGGTATTGTGCTTGTGGAAATCCTATGAGAATAGTGACTTCATGGACAGATGACAGTCCCGAGAGACGTTTTGTTACATGTTCAAGGTTGAAGGTATGGTCTTTGAAGATGTAGAGATAGCTCAAACCCTAAACATACCTTTCTTGCGATTGATGATTCTCCATTATGGAATCGCTTCACCGAGTTGCTCGCGTTTCTCCTTCGGTCACCGTCCAGCCTTTGTCAATTGCAGTTTGCTTTGAAGATACTATACCTTCGTATTACCTTCGTATGAGGCGGGTAAAATCTTATGCTGTGTTTGGGTAAAGTAAACCTAGTGCAATATAGTAAACCTAAGTTTTAATAAAACTAGGTTAAACTAAGTAAACCTAGGTTCATGGGTAAAATAGTGTTTGTAAATAAATAAGGGAAACCTAGGTTAATGTAATAAATGTTGTTTAGATGGAGGTACTCTAGCTCATTTTATGTTAAACGAGAACTTATGGCCTGTTTGTTTGGGGGTTAACCTAGGTTATTGAAGGTTCAATTTCTAGTTAACCCCGTTTGTTTGTATTTTTGCAACAAGAACCTAGGTTATGTGTTAACCTCGCTTAACTTCCGAGAACCTGGAAGAACCTTAAATTGAAGAACCTCCGAATCGGGGGGTTTTGGAGGTTAAGTTCTCGTTTAACCTAAAATGAGCTAGACTACCTTCATCCAAACAACATTTATTGCATTAACCTATGTTCACCTTGTATATTTCCAAACACTATTTCACGTATGGTCTTAGGTTTACTTTATTGCACTAGGTTTACTTAACTTCACTTTATCCAAACAGAGCATTAACCTCCAAAACCCTCCACTTTGGAGGTTCTTCAATTTAAGGTTTTTCCAAGTTTTCGGAGGCTATGTGAGATTAACCCATAACCTAGGTTCTTGTTGCAAAAACACAAACAAACGAGGTTAACTAAAAATTGAACCTCCAATAACCTAGGTTAACCCCCAAACAAACGGATCATTAGGGTTTTAGTTTGATTGAAGACTAACTACAAAGGTGACATGTTTCTATTTAAAACACTTCAGCAACAATTTTAGCCATGTCATCATTTTTAAATGCCCGTATAACGGAAGTACTTAACTGACATGGAAAACTCGAGTTTATGTACTTCAGGGTATCAGATGCAAAATGATGCACTCTTTATGCTATTTTTTTTTTTTGAGAGAAGAAAATTGTATTTAAAAAGCAAAGGAGAGTACAAAAAGGTCAAAACGAAGGAAAAGAAAGCAACAAGAGAGAAATACTATAATCTACGAAAATTTAAAAACCCCAACCCTAAATATTTGAGGTCCCTCCCAATATATCTCTAGTGCTTATTAGAGTCTTCAGAATTCATTCTTGTTTGGGATCTTGTTCTCATGAGGTGAGAACGGTGTTTCTTTTTCCTGTATATCTTCAATTGAGTGTTCAAATTCTCCGTAGGCAAGCAGTTTTCTCTCGTGACCAACATAGCTTTGAATCAAATATCCTGATTAGTATCAAAATCCCAATGATCATCCGTCAAAGAAATAGGAGCTCTCTTTTCGCTTTCTGAAGCATGGCCAAGAAAGTCATCCCCGAGTGTGAAAAGAAATGCTCACCAATAGCACCATCATAATCAAAAGCTTCTAAATACGGGTTACCTGAAAAAACATCTATAGTTTTCTCTTCATCGGTAAGTCTCTTATTTGAAGTTTTTGCCTTCTTTTGTTTACCAGAAACATCTATATATGACAAGTTTAAGTACCATTTTGACACTTTTCTCGATTTGAGTATATGTATTAAAATATATTTTTCTCGATATTTTAACACTTTTCTCCATTTTGACATCTATATATTTTTTAGTTTTTTATATTACAAAAATGATATTTGTACCCACTCTTATACCCACTTTTGTACCCACCCATATTTGTGAAGGTCTTTTGGGGGGGTTCACAGAAAATAATTTGCACAAACAAAATATTGTCTGTGAATTGAGTTCACGAACAAAAAAAACATTTCACAAACATGGTGGATATAAGATGGGTATAAGAGTGATTACATCAAGCATTGCTTTTATACTAATGTGGGGGTCCAACGAGGCCCCCTCAGGACCCTCAATTTGGATTCTCTGTAGAAGACTAGCAGTGCACCATCTTCACCAGTAGGTTATTCATCTCCTTCCTAGTTCCAATCAAGAAGCTGAGTCCGAGTGCCGGTTCAGTTCATAGCTTTACAAAGAATTTACAAGTCAGACTCGAGTTGGTATCCTCTGAACCCGAGCTCTTTACACCAATTTATGGCCTCAGCGATTTCCTGCAATTCAGCCTGAAGGACCGAGCAGGCTTTTATAGGGAAGGAACGGTAGCAGTGATGAACTTGCTCTCTGAATCCCGGGTATATAGTTCTTGATCATTCTTTAGAATTTTAGCTCCCTGATTTGATAATCACCATTAATGAGAGTGAACTTTTTTATCTGATTGCAAACATATGCTTCACTCAAACGTTTCTTCTCCCAAATAGCCATGTTCATTCCTGTCCAAATGTGCTAAAGACTATTGTCTGTCATAATGTGTCTTAACTCTAAGACACCCTCCATAGACCATAGTGTGTAGATTGGCACTCAGCCACCATCAGAATAAAACTTGCCTTATTTCTGGTTGAAATGGGACCTGCACTTGCAAAGTGCTAAAAAAGTATGCCCATGTAGGTCTGACTTTAGGACAAGAGTAAAAGTAGTAATCCTATGTGGCTATGTCTGCTCATCTTTGAAGCAAATAGGGTACATCTGTGTATGAAATCTGCTAAGATTATTAGGGAAAGGCAAGAAAGAATGTAGAAATTTCCACAAGAAATTCTTGATGTTGAGCTTGTGATGAGGGAACCAAACTTGTTTATATGAAAAAGAGGTGATGATTTATTCCTTGTGTGGTTGTAGGCTGACTTCATGCTAAAAGCTCTCTCGACAAGGTATACATAGTGGTTGACCAGACTCAATATAGCAGATAAGTTCCTTTCCCACTTCATTAGTTCATTTATTGTACAAATTTGCTTTCATGTGGCAGAGCCAACCAATTTAGGATAGGGTTGGGACTTGGAACCGTAAAAAACCGATCCGATCCGAACCAGATAATTTTGGACTTCTGCCTTTTAGCTTCAGTTCCTATAGTATTTGACCAGTTCGGTTCCCGGTCGGTTCCGGTTCCGAATGCTGGAACTGA